CCGGGTATTGAATCCAGGTGTGCACACATCATTTTCCATATAAAAAAACTCATAAAAAGAGTGCAAGAATTTTTTTTTTTTTTGGATGGACGGCTAGTCTTTGTTAATAAACATTAAGAATTACTAGTCTGATAACAAGAGAAAATAAACATTTTAGTACCGTCACCAATTCCAATTCAATCCTATCAAGATTTATTCATTATTTTATTGTTGGTCTAAATGCTAAGTAGCTCGAGGAGATCCGGAACCAGATGCCACCATACATTCACATGAAAAACATAATAAATTAAAAACTTGCCAAGGGTTGGAAAATTTTCCACCTCCCCAACTACAAACTTTCCCGTGCATCCCTGCTCCACTTTTGCTACCCGCTGTACTACCTCCAGTACTTGCATTCAACAAATCCCCCGGTTTGGTTCGAGATTTTCCACTTCCAAATACAAAAGAAAAAGCAAAAATAAAACAACGGAAACAATTAAAATTTGAAGAGGATTCTTCCAAGAGCAAAAATCAAATAGTAGAATCATGCATAAAAGAGTCACTCCATAATTTTAAGTGGGCAATAACCCCACCCATTTGTCTGCCTCACAAAACTACTACCGGTCTACATGGTTAGTTAGTCCTCCAAAATTCATAACCAAATCAAATACAGTATGTTCACAGTATATAGCTTATATAAACCACTCCCCATCAGAGAAATTAATGTTTTTAATCTCTGCAACTATATCAAGGTACACCCTATCACAGAATGTTTTAGGAACATATAATATATATATATATATATATTTCAAACCTGATCTGTTGGACTCTTACTATTAAAAATAATAAGGATGCATCCTCTGTTTATAGAGTAAAAGAGGTGTTTAAATTTATTACAAATTTCTGTCGTTATAATACAGTCCTCCGGTCAATTAAACCACTTATCGCCAGTATAATTTATAAAAATTACAATAAATGAAATAAAATAAAGTAAAACAAGAGCACACAACCTCACAAGCATCCATCTTTTCCTCATTGTGAACCACCATCTCCTTTTCCTCATTGTGAACCACCATCTCCTTTTGAAACATGAGCATATATTCGCATCGTATTTGTATTTCCAGTATCTTCTCCTATTAAAGATGTCTGGGCGAAAAGTTGAGCCATACATCTCAACAAGAAGATGAGCTTGCAGCAATAAAAATAAAGTGACAGGAATACTGGCAATCAATGTTAGTGAGATTAAGATGTGTATCTCCTTTTTACCCTGTAGCATAATGACAAGAGTAGCGCAAAATGCTACCATCATTGCTGCAATGGAGATGAAGAGCGAAGAAAGGCCAATAATCAACTTCTTGGGTAAGGATATATGGAAATCTTGACAAGTATAACGAGAAGTGAGAATCCCCAAAAACATTAACACTGAACTGGATGCAGCAAAAAGAGAAATTGCATCTGATACTCCAAATACTTTGAACAGTGTTGCAAACGATACTTCAGAAGGATGGATCATCGTTGTGTTCAAAATAATGGGGAAGCCAGTCCCTTCGTTGTTTCCACCAGGAACAGTAAAAGCTACAGTAAACATAGTGGTAATAACAAGAGCACCTACGACTGTACAAGATTCTGCCACCTTTTTCATCCATCTTTCGGCTTCTTCCAGCAAATTCCTGTGTTCTCTAAGAAATACTTGGGTAGGAGTTTCACCATCTTTATTTTTCATGTTGTAGAACCGTGGAACAATGCCTTCAACCGACTGCATGTGTTTCATAAATTATGGATATTAATTGAGAAACTATTAATTAATTTGAAATAACAAACAAAATTAAAAATGAGATTACCTTGAACCAGTGTAGTTCATTTTGCAACTGCAAAACTGCACCGGGGATGTGATCTAGTTGAGAATGAGAAGCTAATCGTGCAGCTATATGTAATATATTGTTCCCATCTTCATCGGTGACAGTAACCATATTGGTATACATCGTTTCAGCAAATTCATCATAAAGAAAGCGTGCGACTTTCTCTTCACGATGTGCTACAGCATGTACAAACATGTTTCTTGAATGCTCGGGATCTGTTCTCCTCAATAATATATTATCATTACGTTTTTTTAATAATTCAATTGCAATCTCAGGGATGCCATTCTTTATAGCCTGAAAGGTTGCTTCTACTGCTCCACTTTGCACAAATTGGTTCTCATCTTCTAACTTTGATATTGACCCACATATGGAACGTATAACCTCAAGGGCATACTCATCCATCAACTTCAGCTTATAATTTTGAATTACTGA